CTATGTCCTCTTTAAAGCATTAAAGAGGACATAGCATGCAAATCATTAATTTTTTTTACTGTAGGTGTTTTCCATGTTATGTCCCACTCCACCTCACTCAGCAAGAACATAGATATAATACAATTCTTTTTAAAGACACATGTTATGCAAAATTGACTTTTAACTATACTACAAGATTGTTTCCTCCTCATCAGGAAACAGGAGCTTCTGTCTAAAAGCTCCTGTTTCCGCTCTGTAATAGGATATGCCATCATACTCAGAACAGTTTTCAACCTTTTTAAACAAAAGTATTAGCTATGAAATAGTTTTGGTGACTCCGGGTCACAGAAACTCATTTTATTGTATAATTTTTACCATTTATAATTGTTTGACCATATATTTTTGACTGAAAATATTAATTCACATTCTAAAACTTTAAAGAAAATTGTACATTCTATTTTTTTATTTTGAAGGGCCAGAGATAATGAGTATTTTCCAGTCTTTAAGGTTTTTTCTTTTTTTTCCCCTTTCTTTAAGTGTAGTTTTGCAGTTCAGGTCCGATACTTCTGCACGTTCAGATTTGTTGTGTTGTAGCATGCAAATGTTTTTGGATCGCTCATCCTCAGTGGGAAAGGCCAGTGATAGCCTGGTGGCGTCATAAATAAAAGCAGGTGTGACCTAAACATTAGTGTTATGGCTCTACAGGCGACACTATTGTTCATATGTCAAACTGCGGGGCTCATCCTCTGGGGACTTAGCACCCATTCTTCACAACACTTTGCACTCTGGTCTGAGCCTGAGAAATGCACTTGTTTCCCTAAATAATGCATGAGCGGGACTTTTGTTTTAAGACTCCATGATTAATATCTGAAATGGATGTGTGTAGTTTTACATTGAACTTCGAAGTTTTTTTAACTAAAATTTTTACTGATAACTATATAATTTAATCCCAATCACAATGTGCAGTTGAAATATTTATATAATGTTTCGATCTAACTGTAGAACATTTTTACACATTGTATCTGAATCAGACAAAAGATGAGAATCCATAAATTAATTTGTAAACAATAAAATAAATAGTAGGAAGAAATAAATTTGTGGGGACCTGGGTCTTTGTATAGAAAGTGTCCTGAATTGGTGAATTAATGTAGTATTTTATTGGTGTGTTTCATGTAGAAATGCATACGTGTTTTGCCCTTGAAAGAGTTTTCTGCTTTCTTCCTCCATAATCAGCTCTTTTTGGCACCTGGGTTAAAGTTTATTGTCCAAATATACATTTTAAACATATTTTTCAAAATTCAGAAATCACAATCAGAAAAGTCACTTAGAAAAGTCACTCAGAAAATGTCCTTTTGTTCTGTGCCATTACCACTACATTTGCTGGATGATAACATGTTTTTATTTCCCTCTTGTCCGAAATACGATCATGCCAAAGTAACTTTCTCCTGTGCTCTTGTTTCTTTGGTGAAAGTGAACACGAGGCAGACACATGAAACCCCAGGGTGCGTCGCTAGGGCCTCGTCCGCCTTGACAACACGAAGCAAGCCGGCTCTGTAAAGAACGCCAGGGCTAAAAGGTAACTCTTTGAAATGTTTGTTGAAAACTTTATGAGTGAAATGATTGGAGTGGCTGCTTAATTCTTCTCTGCTGAGCTAACAATTGTCACCCTTCTACGCCTCTTGGTCAGTTTTTATTCACTCTACTCTTTCGGGAGACGGACTGCTGTCAAACACGATATAAAATGCGTCTGTCCACAAGCAAATCAAATATTCTTGTGTGCCCGGCGCCCAGTCCCTATGTGACTATAGAGTTACAGGCCGTGTGTGTCCGACGGAAACGCTGCAGAATGTCACGCAAATATTTCAGCTCGCACTATGCCATCGAGAAGGGGAAGTCAACACAGAGCCCACTGTCGCTGTGGATTAGGCCCGCCGAGCTTAGCTGATGAGATGACAGAAGAGATGGTCATTCTCAGGGCAGCGGAGGCAAGTACAAACAGGGGCACGGGTCAACCACGGGGTGTTCGAGACGCAAAACACGGAGGAGGTTATAAGTCATTGTTCTGAATTTACACCGAGTATGAATACGTTACATTGACCTTTAAAAATGTGCCCCTTACGAGTTGTCTCCCAAGCTCCAGTAGGTCACTTTTTATTCGAAAGAAGATAGACTGATATCAATCAATCATCACTAAAAACACCATAATCACCATTGAAAAACACAATTAAAGTGTAATTAAAAACATTACAACATTAAAATCCACGAGGGACTCGGAAAATTAACAACAACAATACATTAAAAACAATAAAGTAATATAATTTAATATTTTTTTATTTTCAATGTTTTATGAACATTGCTTTACTGCTGCCCCCGCGACCCGGCAACGGATGAAGCGGAAGAAGAAGGAATGGAATGGAATGTTTTATGAGAATGAGAATTTTCCATATCATGAGTTTCAACTTTGTTCCTCCAGAAAGTTAGATACTGCATTATTTTATATTGCTAATAGTAGATTTTTTGCGGTGAGTGAATGAATCCAAAAGTTCAAGATTCCAAAATGTCCCAGAAGTAACATTTGATAGCAAACATAGTCAGGAAAAGTAAAAAAAAACTATACATTATTATTATTATTATTGTAGTTTGTTCATTGCTATTCACCCGTTGTCCCATTGTCTGTTTCATGGTACGATGACGGGATCTCTGAGCCTGGCCTCTTCCATCTACACCTGCGGACTGCCCTGCCCGACCCGCCTGGGAGTGCTTCAGTCCTGCACCGGACCTGTCCACGTTCAGCGGCCACTGGTCCACGTTCTGTAGCTAGCTTAGGTCCTGGATCATTAGTCTGTCCGTCCGGAGGAGCGGATCCCTTTCTCATATGGGTCTCCCTCCCTGTGGGTTTCCCTAGTTCTCCTCCAAGGTTTCTCACTTTTTCCCACTGGGTTTTTTAAGAGTTTTTCCTTGTCGATGCAGGAGGGTCTTGTTGGACAGTTAGTGTCCAACAGAAAGGATTGGTGATGATCAGGACACTTTAGCATTCTACAACATGTATGGACACTTTCTTCTGTGTGTGCTTTATACTGTATTCTTCATGTGTTTTAACTGTTGATTCTCTGACCTGTGTTGGTGATTTCAATGGTTTTGTTAAGTCCTCTGAGATGACTTCTGTTGTGACCTAGGGCTATACAAGAATAAATTGTATTGTATTGTATTGTATTGTATTCCAACGATTCAATGATGGAGATTACTCGTTTCAAAAGGCAGTACACAAAAAATACACAATGGAAGCAATTATGTTTTAAGTCTAAGTTTGTTAATTTAGTTTATGCAGAAAGTAAAAAAAAGACAGAATAAATTTTGTGGCAGAATCACACATTATTTAATTCTCACCTCATTATATAGTAACACTAATACTGATATTAATAATCGGGTGTTATTTTCATCAGTTTGGCAGATGTGAATGTTTTTCATGTGTCACTTCTTGGCCAAATACTCACTCGTTTGGCTTAGTTCTTGGCTTCGCAGACTCACTCAAGTCAAATTCATGATCTCATAGTTTATAGGGGGATTTACTGGAAAAGCTTATATAGACAATTCAGCAAAAGTTGGCCATGTTTGGTGTATTTGATTTGCGTGCGTTTAGTGATACACGTTCCTGTTATTTATATGGACTACATCAGCAACTTTTGGCAGCATCAGTGTTTAGGAAGCTCGGTGTTTGGCAAGAAGGGTCGAGCTTTAACAAGAAATGAAGTGATTTTCCTTCAAACAGTGTAATTTTACAAGCGGTTTCAAACGCTCAGTCCAACATGCACCTGAAATGAATATTAAATACAATTGGAATTTCAAATCAAAAAATGCCTGGACTTTTAAAAATCGCGGCATGTCGGAAATACAGCTTCTTATCTGCTATTATTGGCCTTTTGAGAGCGGGTGATAAGCACGGTTGGACGCAAATAGAACCAGCTGGACACATAGTATACCTGAAGTGAACTGTTTGCCCAGTCAGGTTTTTAGCACGGCCCGATAAGGAGCGTGAATATCCTGTGGTCTTTGCCCGGCTAATGCTCATGAACCGCACACTGGCTCGCCTTTCACCGGAGTTATTACGCCGGCTGTAATTTGAAACAATTACAAAAACACTGGCCCACTTGTTACAACACTCATTTTCCCCTCACATATACAAACCACACATTCAATAGCTTTACATGTTTTTCAATCACACCCAGTGGAGCAGTGTTTGGTGTGAAAAAGTATAGCGTTTCATCCCAGCTCGCATGGTATGGGATAATCTTTCACATTTAGCCTGGGGTTTGTTTTGCTATTTCAGCAGAAACTTGTGCAAGCCATGTGAATTACCATAGGAACAGATGATAAAAAATGCCAAATGATATTGTATCAGATGTAAATGAATAAACTATTGGAATAATCAGTCACATCGTTCGTGATCGGTGATAATGCAGGGGCTGTAATGAACAAGATGCCTGGCTGAGATAAGGGAGGCCACTTTAGATGGATGGAGAGATGGCTTTGTGCTGCACAGTAAGCTGTAAAAACATATCACTTTGCAGGCTATTATAACACAAACAAACTTAAAAGATCTATATTACACATTAGACATACCGTGTTAGCAGGTCTTTACATCATTGCTGTTATATTAATAAGCAGGTGGGGAATGTGTGAGGTATTCTAAAATGTTATGTATTTGTATTGAACCCTGGCATTTAAAAAAAAAAGCTAAAATATTCACTAATTTTTTTTGACATTAGGAGAAAACAGTTTTGTAATAACCAAGCATTGGCATCAATTTAATGGTAATGATTCAAACAGAGAATTAGTGAGCAGTTTCTTCTGATACTGATCTAAATTTACACTTCTTAATCTTAAACTTGTGAGTGAGTCTATAATAGTGTATTTGGATACCAAGATAGATAAATTTGGTTGCTGTGGCTATCGATAAAAGAAAATAACAATTTGTATTTTTCCTAATTTTTTACAGATTCCACATTGTTCCGTCCACGGACATGGACACCTTTGGCAGCGTGAGTATAGACTTCTGAGTTGTAACACTGGATCAGGCTGTGCTCCTCCTCTCTCTCTCTGGGAAGGTGCTGGTGTGCGCTGACCATTGACATCCAGCATTCCTCTGTCCCGTCTCGCGGCTCTCGTTGGGAGGGGGGAGAAGGCGGCGGAGGGGTGCAGAGGCCAGCCCACGTTTCTGAAGGGCAAAAACAAAAGGCTCTTGAAAATCCCAAAACGTTCCCATGATCTGACGGAAGACCTTGATCCGACTCGAGTTAGATTTTTCATTCCGCGGATTAGCGAGCACAAAACGTCCGGATTTCAGTCGTATATTTTGCCTAACACTCTGAGTAGTTTCATTACAAATCGTGCCGTTTTCTTTGTCTGAAACTAAAACATTGAAATTTTGGCAATAATGTCAGCGTTTAAAAAAAATATTCACGTTTTTTTCATTATCATTCCAAGCATTCACTGACATTTCGGAGTGAGCACATGAGCTTGTAGTGACATTTTATGGAAGAAAGTTTTCAAAGTCATCTTTCAAGGTTTTTTTTCCCAGTACATACATAATCTGTTAGCATCAAAGGAGCACACATGCATAAATAATTGACTAATTCACTTAAAGGGGGCCAGCGTAGATTAATTAAGCCTGAATACTAATTATGTTTTCTGTCTACACCAACTGCTGCGGATGTTGTTTAATAAGAAACTGTTTGGTGGGTCACAATTAACATGCGCGTGTAAGGCCAATGTAAATTAAGAAAGTGGGGTAAACATTTTAAGGATTATTGCTGCCTTTTGAAATTAATGGCAAAGTTTACAGAGTTTGATAATCTTTGATAAATGTTATGACATGGGTCTCCCTGATGAACTTTAACATTTAAAGCTAGGTCAGTATAATTATTATAGTGGAAATAAGATCAGCATTACTTAAAAAGTACACTGCAAAAATATAGAAAAATTGAGTAAAGTGATACCAGTTAGAGAACAATTAAATTAGAGGTTAATAAAAAAAAAAACATGTATTATTTTGTATCTGTACATAATGTCATAATGTCATTCTGATGATTTCTACAAGTCCTTTAAATATAAACATGCTAAAACCTCATATGATTTTGAGCATGTTCAATATTTAATATATAATAATAACGCATTTTATTTAAAAGCACATTACAAAACAAGAGCACTGTACAAACATGGTTAAAACAGTGCAATTAAAAACATTAGCATTATTAAAAGCAGAAAACAACAGAAGTGGACTAAGGTGTTGGGATGACTGGTCATGTGGGGGAAAGACAGTGTGAAAAGATTTTGAAAAGTTTTCAGTCTGGATTTGAACAGGGGAAGACATTTGGAAAAATATGTGACCTGTTATACATTTAGCATTTCAAAATAAAATGAAAACACAAGTGAAATGGAAAATATAAAGTTGAGAAAAATTAAAGTTGAAAACAAAATGAAAAGAGGCCTTAGTAAATTCACTGGTGGATCGGTGCGTAAAATATCTATGTATAATGACACCAGCCCCAGCATTGTGTCCTTGGCTGTTTATTCTAGTGTTGTCTACATAACAGCATCTCTCTCCTCCGTCAGACTCCTTGCTAACATCCCTTAGTAAGCGGCGCATGCAGAGACAGAGGCAGACAGCTCCGAGCTCGGGCCCTTGTTTACAGCTGCGTGGGGAAGAAAACAGGCAGACGTAAATGAGGGTTGACGGTTTCATGAAGCACAATTGGTTGACGGCAGATCCAATGTGACTGCGCTGGACTGGGCGATGATCCGTACAGTATGCAAAATTCACTTTCTAGCTGGTCTGTGCCCACCAGCCCCTAGCAGTGAGCGGTCTTCCCCAAGCCCTCCTAGCTATGCCTTTGAATACAACACGAACTGAACAAGCAAAAGGCATTGTTGTGCTCAATTCCTTCTGACAACAATCACATTTAAAGAGAAAGGGATGAAAAATAAGGCTGGAATTTTCTTTGTCACCACTTCCAAATGATTTCTCCGCGGCGTTGACTGCACTCTAAGCGTTTTGCATGTGGCGCACGGGCGCGAGCAGGGGTATTTGTGGAGGTTCAGGATGCGGTTTCAGTCATTCAAGTATCATTTGTTTCTATTGAAGATGACACTCTACACATACACAATATTTTCATTCAAATCATCATTATTAGATTGATATAGCCAACAGTGGATGGGGATTTTTTTGATTTGAGATATTAATTTAACCCGGGGGCTTTGCAGTTGAGTATAAAATAGTATTTCACTGAGACATCTTTAGTGTTTTTAGCCCTGGCGTTTAGTGTTCGGAATCACACCCAACTTGAGCTCAATATCCATGTTTTAAAATTCTTGTCTCAAAAGGTGCCCAAAGTTTTATGATTGCGTTCTACTTTATTAATGTCAATGTCAGCTTTTTTTGTATAGCACATTTACAACAACACCAGCTGCCCAAAGTGATAATAAACGCAAACAGCATAAAATACATACAAATACATGTAAAAAGTAAAACTCAGTTGGTGTTAATGGTGTTGATGTAGTAAATATTATTCATGTAGTACATAGGGACTATTATTCTATATCAAGTCCTTTTCCTTGAACTGCAGGTTTTCCGGGCCCCCACTATGATGCATTTTATTTCCCCAGGATTGAATTGTTGTTTATTGTTTTGGAAATGCGACATCTGCACGTTCCATCCGGTTATGACACATTAGAGTATTACAAGGAGCATGCTGTCAGTGTCATGACGTCTGAGGAGGAGACGGGGAGCAGGCATTTGTCTTCTACTGAGACTCACGACTGGATTAGATGTTTAGTGACAATGACCCGCAGCATTAGGCCTCGGGACGACGCACTGCAGCTCTATACTTCCCCTTAAGTCTAAAACAGAGACGATGAAGTCAACTCAGAAGAAAAAAAAAAACACTTCCCTAGACTTATTGACATTTGCTGATATTGAGATACTTATTTGTTTGCATAAAAAAGAAAGAAAGATGAAACCAAAACTTTCAAGTCAAGGATTGCTACAACAGAAATAAATGGAATAAATGAAATAAACCTGTAGGGAAGTGTTTATTTAAAGTATAGGAAGAGTCCTGAATTCAGGAGCTCACATTGCAGTTCAAAAAGAGTTTAAGATTTAAAAAAATCCTGATTAGTGTAATGTTGATAAAAACATACATTTAAATTCAGACCTAAAATGTTAATATTTTTCATTGCTATGTCCTGTAATTCAAGTTTAATTTTTGGTACAAATACACAATGAATAATATAATAGTCAAAAATATTGTAGCTATAATAACTCCTTTAAACTGTATGTTTCAGTCTTAGTTTAGTTTGACTGTATGACTTTTATTATAATAATAAAGCCTGATTATTTGTATTGCGTACCGTTTGCTTCATTATAAACAAATATTACTGTATCCGCAACACTTTTAACTGACTATACCATATATCCTTTAATGGTAAGCATCTAATACTTTTGATTTGGTCGAAGCAAATTCATTAAAATGTATTTGTCATGACACACTTTGACATTTCCAATTACTCAAATTTAAGCAGCCACAGCTATAAACAAATTACCTTTAGCCTTGGGCACTGAGTAATCATGCTAAAATGAAATAATTCTGTTGAGCAGTATTTCCCTGAGTCGTAACATGAAAACGTGGCGGGAACTATCATGATAAAATGTATAATAAAATAAAAAATAGGCAACAGGGAGACCACTGGTGCTGATCTGATTTGCTATGTGAAGCTGTAAAAAGTGATTGGTACCCAGTCGCAAAGAAAATGGTTTTTAAATAAGTTACAATTAGATAAGCATTAATCTCAGTGGTATAAATGAATGTCTTGCTGTAGGGCTTGGTGAATGTAAAAACAGATCTACAAAAACTCATCTTTGCAGATTGGTCTGAAAGTAGTCCCCCTCCATTTTAATTGCTCTGTCATTTAGAGTTGAAATAATCCCCCTCTTATTGTGCTCCCTAATTTAGGCTTTGAAATTAAATATTGTATACAAATACATGCTGTTCAGGAGCATGAGTGCAGTTCATCACCAGAATCTGCATAAAATGATGCTTAAACGGCTCCATTTGCTTTGAGTAACACAAGCCTTTGTATGGTGCATCCTTATGTAAACATATCCATAACCAAAACGACTAGTTTGGCCTGTGCCTCGGCGTCCATATTGTTCTGTGTGTCGGCAGAAACAAGAGAAATGTGGGACTGCAAACATGTGTGTCTGACTCTCAAAGCTGCACATACGGATCTCATACAGTCTGCCCCTCGTCCTTATCAACAGACCTGCCTGCCATTGTTTAACATATTTCCTCTCTGTGTTAAACCTTAAGCTCTCCTGCTCATATTCTCATTTGCACATATTGCATAAAAAGGCATAATTTTTGTCATTTTGTCCATTCATTTTCAAAACAAGGGAAGTATTTTAATGTGACCTTCATTACACATTCATGTCAACTTTTCTTATCTATTTATGATTAATTTTTTCCACTCCTGTTGTTCAATTAGTGCTTGACCCCTTTAGCGGCGATGTAAATTAAATGACATTTCAGTGTCGTCCCATATTTAAAATACTGCGTTAGTTGCGGATCATAAATGATGATCTTCATTCTGCAGCTAATTTATTCATTTAACAATTTCCCTCCAGAAGTTACAGCAGAAGGCTCTGCAGCAACCTAAGCAGAAGAAATCCAAGTCGGCTGAATTTCTGATGGGTGAGTCCTGCTTGATGAGTTATTGCTCATAATTTGTGTAAGGATTAATTAACTAATTACAGACAAATGGCTTTGGGCTAAATTTTGCTCTTGCTTGTCAGGGCGCAATTTGTAATTATTTTAATCATTTCTTCTTCTCTTTTTTCTCCTCCTCTTGCAAGATTCTGATTTAATTTTAACCTAATTGTGTTTTAGTGTCATTTGAGGAGGATGCGCTAAGCATTTTGGGCCAGACAAATCACCAATACGACCATTTGGTGTTGTTAAATATGTTTTAGTGCACATGAACGACTTTGACCTCCCTCTTGTCTATATCCCATGTGACACAATTTGTATTTTTATTTACGCTTCCGTTTCCCGAACAGAATGCGAGGGCAGAGGCGCAGCGGTGGGCATCGAAAACCCGGCTTTCGACGGAGGGGGCAGCAGCAGCGGTCTCTCCTCGGCCGCTCCTGCTCATCTGGGCAGAGAAATGCGAGGTGACAGGCTAGATAGCACCCTTGCATCGCACCAAAAAAAACTGCAGCTGCAAACCCCTGCCAAAGAGAGAGGTGAAGCTTCATTTTCCATTAGCTTCACATTTGTTGACAGTGGATGTGTTCCTGATCTAACCTCATACTCGCTCCCGTGCGTTGCATTCGGGGCGCTCTTGGTCCCTGGATTCTGATCATCCCTCATCTATCTTGGCGGCGCTGGAGAGGAGCTACCGTTGTGGGTGTTCTATCTCTATCGGAGAAGTAGCCTCCGCACAACCAGCCTTGACTCCCACTCTGGGCTACATGCCTTGTGGTGGGCTGGAGTCATAGGAGAGAGCATTTACATACGCTACTACGCTACACGCCGATCTGCTGTCTGTGCGGTGTACTCACAACGCCCCCGAAACACGGCTTTAGGCCAATCAGGCATACGAATATGGCCCCTTATAATTCAGTATGTCAGGGAGAACTCTTGAGGAATGGGATGGTAAATTAGGATGCGTTCAAGGTTGTGAGCGTGCCAGTTTTTCTGCAAGATGAGTCACATGTTGGATTTCAGATTTAATGTGCTGTATTTTGCTGTTGCTGAGCAGTGCACGGTGAATAATTGTCACTCATTATTGTCTTCTATTCACATAAGGTAGGCTAACACGCTACAGTGGTGTTTGTAAAATAGATTCATTCATCGTTATTGGCTATTTTGCAATCAATTCAGTTGAAAATCAAAACCTTGAATGGGATGTGGATGAAGCAATGATTGAAACAAGCGCAAAAAATAAGGTGTTGTTTTCCTTTGAGAGATGTACAGCCCCAATCACTATTCTCATAATCCATACAATCTACGATAAATCACATAACAGGACTTCCCAATACAATTTTGTCAAATAATTCCCATAGCCTTGTTTGAATGTTTTTACATGTTAAATCCTACAACGTGGAGGGGTTTCATACTTTCTGCCCAATCCTGTCGTAGCCCAGTGGTTAACTCCTGTCTTTTACTGTTCAGTCATTCAAAGTGTGATACCTCCAGCCTTCTATTAAGCTGATTCTTCTAGGACATATTACATGTTCACATTTAATATAGTGTTTGCCTCACAAGCTGATTTAGAAAGAAGCAATTTACAGTGAATATTGAAGTGAGAATGATTGGAGGTTAGGGAAGCTGGTTGATGTGCCCTTAATAAGTAACCAGAGGCCATCAGACTCCTATAAGCCGTGAAGCAGCCTGATGCCTATAGGTCAGAGAATGCTAATAACAAGTGAATGGGACATGGGTCGGAGATATTTTCTTTGGATCCACTTCCCCCAAACTGCCTGGTCCTTGAGGCCACTGACCCCAGAGTATTTAGAAGGCATTGTCTTTGAAACTCCAGGTACTTTTCAGATTGTACACTTTCTCATTAGTTCCTTTTGAACACGGCAAACATATGGCAGTCGTATTTAAGAGATTGCCTGCCATGACCTTTTGCAGCATGCTAATTAGGCCCCAGAGCACCGCAGGCCGTGGAGAGGTGCAGGGAGAGAGCCAGACTTTACTCTCTTTTACTCTGTCTCATCTTGGCTCTGCCTTATCTGGTAGCAGCCGCTGCCCCTGCCCTTCAACAGTGTGGGTTTCAAAATTAACATTTCGCTTCATGTGCTTCTAATAACCACTGACCTAAACCTGTACAACTCACCATTTTTCTCCCCTTTCTCTCACTTTCACAGGAAATGAACACTCTCAAAATTACTTTGACCTGCCGTCAGCGGAGCAGACAGACCCAAGGCAGCTCGTGAGGACTGGGGTCAATGCTGAAGATGAGCTAGAATTAAGTATGCCATTCTCTGTCATAATAGTTCTCCTTGGTTCATTAAAGTGAGGTGAGGGGATCACCAGGAGCAGGCTCCATTTGTGACGTTAGAGTCTATGTAAATACACCTAGATATAGTATCACGAGATTGACAAGCCAAACTACTGTCATTGATGAAGGTCACATATGATTGGTCAGTTTTCATTTCTACTTGGCTTTTCCAGTCCTCTGTTAAATGACATGCAGAGCCACATCAATAGTTTGAAGCCCCCTGCTAAAGTAGTCCTATTAAAAGCAGACTCTTGGGAGCAAAGTAATATGCATGTTATAATGAAACATGGCTATTAATGGAGAAGCCATTTCACCTGTATCTTTTGGATATCACTGCCATGTAATATCAAAGGATTGGCCAAACGAAATCTCATCATATGATGACAAGCTGGGTAACAGGCATGTTAATGCTGCTATTTCATTACCCTTTCACACACAATGTTCACCCTCTAGAACCACAGCTTATATCTCTGAAGCATGCGATTTAGATTAACTCGTGATAAGAACAAAGTAATTTTAAAGCTTACAAGGGCTTGTAATTTCCACCGTCCTTAAAGGTGTTTTCATTGTGTTTTAGTGATGCTTAACGCAGATGAAAGGAGACTCTATCACAAAATGGCTGCATTACTGGACGATGACAATACTTTTGGAGACATACCTGGTATGTATCTGTGCAATATGCTCTTTGGGATCATGTTACTAATCATTTACATATTATAATTATTGAAGTATTTCTATGAAAAAAGAATGATCAGCAAATGTCAACACAATAGTCAAGCATCAGCATCATTTATACCATATTTGACAGAAAATAGAGCTGCAATTTTTATGTGACACAGTCGCCACACTCACTTTCATTTGTGAAGAACTCAGGGAATGTTTTTGCGTTTTAAGCTTTACATTGTCTTATGAAACAGCCATAGTCAGTCATCCTGTTGACATGAAGCACCACTCTGTTGTAATTCCTGCTTTGGCGGCCTGTTTCTACACATTGAGCACACGCTGAGCTGCTCATATTATTTACCATTGTCTCGGGTTTAGCTGTAGCACCCAGATTAGCAATGCCATCTATTGTCTGGGAATGTTCATGAAATCCCACAGAAACTAAAGAGGATCTTGGATTAACAGTTTCTTCATGCAATGGGATGAGACACAGACGAGGAAGGGAAGAGCTTGTACTTGTACTGATGGAGTCCATGCAGCGGCTGCCAGAACGCACAAGCTACAATGGACTTTCAGACAATCACCTACGCTGTTGAATGAGTGCCTCCCACTGATATAGGTCTACTGTTGAACTAGCCCAATACATCAGGAGCCGCCTTGACATTTTTATAAAGATCTTTTGTCTTATCCTTTGCATCTTGCTACAAAATACAATGACATTTCTTGAATGAAACGCAGTATTAATGACATGGGCACGGGCCAGGCCTTTTAATGTGTTCTGTGGTGGAATCCCACTTTCTACCATTATTTTTTTTTTGCCTTGTTTCTCAGAGTACAAACAGCTATTCATTTCAACTCTAAGCTTGAGCTTGAATGAGAAAAGCATTAGGCAGCGGTGGCGGTGTTGGTGGGACTGCACACGTTGAATGCACTGATGCTTGTGGTAATACCTTACGCTTTCAAGCAATGAGGCGGTGCACAAACTGACTCTCACTGTAGGTAGACTTCAACTCTGTTCTATTAATGTCTGTGAAAGCAGATACAAGATTTAAAGTTACTCCACTTACACCACATGCTATTATGTAATACATTGTACATATCTGCCCCTTATGGACCAATGGCTCTATGTGTTTTTTTTCATTGCATTTTTTGTGTTTGAACTGTCTGATTCTCTGATCTGTGTTGGCGAATTCAAAGGTTTTGTTAAGTCCTCAGAGATAACTACTGTTGGGAATTGAATTGAATATCAAATCATTCACAACATATGGCAAGTATACATGCTACACTAGTAAATAAGTACGTTTTCCTGCTTATCTAATAGACAGACTCTTGGAATGTTCTCATAGATCTTTATACTTATCAGCTCTTCCTATAGGTGAAATACACAATTTTGTCTGTTTTTCTCTCATGTTCATGTTGATGTGTGTGTTTGGAAGTGCCCATACTGGAGGAAGTTAGTATGCACATCCATCTATGCTGCGTGTGTCTACGGCTGCTCACTCAGCCTTGTCTCGGCAGGTACGGTGCTTGCCTCCAGGGATGACGAGGTGTTGGAGGTGAAGCCGGGTGATCCGGTGCTTCAGAGGCGACTGCTGCTCCGTGCCGGTGCTGATGCCTCGGGCAGCGGGCCCTCCCAGGTCCAGCGCATTGCCAAAACTGCTGCTAAGACTGGTGATGGGATGAGAGACAGGACGGGGCTCCAAACAGAGAGGATGATAATGGGCAAGGAAAGCACTCTGAAAGGTATTCGTATTCTAAGATTCTATTTTGTTTTGTTGTACGTTTAGACAAAAAATAGATACCAAATACAGTTTTAGCACATCTCGGCCTGATTGTATACATTGTATATAGAAGTGAGCAACTTTGTATTAGATTTATATACAGGGTACTTATGGAAAAAACGGCATATTCTTCTGACATACTGTATTTGCTCAACTGGAACTCTTTCGGACTCTTTTCTAAGAAACTGTGTGCGCAAGAACTAAACTTGGAATGGAGGCTTTAAAACATTTAGCATATTTTCAATCATAACAGTTTTATTATAGTATTGTTTGTGTACTTCACGACCAAATGAATCTCACTGGACTACCTTGGAAAAAAGTCTGGAACTCTCATGACCCCTCCCTGTCTTGATAAAGACACATAAATAAGTTGGTGTATTGTATAGTAAGTAAGACTGGATTTGTTCACAGTAGTTTTTTTTTTAATCACAACATTGATTGATGCTTTTTTCACCACAAACTTAACTTTATGCTAGTCTAACAATTGATAGTTTTAAACATCTGATCAATCCTCTCTTCCCGACAGCGCGGACGGCGGAGGATGCGGTCCCCCAGTACGCACAGCAGCTGAGGGAGCGCGTGCGTCCTGACATGATCACGCTTGGCAGCCTTTCACTGCAGCAGGTCAGAGCCACAAAGAGGGAGATGTGTGTCACCATCCCATATTCACCAGCGCATCAGCCGTGTCCATTATGCTACCGGCTAATGGACAGAGTGTGCAGATCTGTGTGGCCTCCATCTATGTTTGTCTGCTCACATTACGCATTTTTCTCTGCACTTTTGAAGTTGTTTTCTGTACCATGCTGTTCGGAGCGTACAGTACGAGCGATGCATTTTGAGTGGTTAGATAACTTGTTTATTCCCTTTGCAACAAAAAAAACAACAAAAATGAACGAATGCACGGATTTTCCAAACCGTAATCTGGGTGACATCCTTACACAATCATTTATTTTCAGAAAGGCTTGAACTTTGGTGAGCGTCGGGATGTATATTTGTTTACAACGGGCTGATTTTGTTTAATTCTTTTCCAATTTTGTAAGTCTTTTCAGGAAAATTAGAGCGTGACAACGACTTCCCAGTGGTGGAGTGGAGGGATTTTGCGCTGTAGATCTTCTTACCAAACAAATGTGGCGTCTGAAAGGAAACATGCGGGTTTTCATTGTGCGCACGAAATCTAGATAAAACATTGACTTAATGTGAATGCATAACTTTATCCACTGTATTTTTAGAACTAATCTGTCTTGTAAAGCAAGTAGGCGTGTCTTCTTATACAAACAGAGACATGGGAAGACTTGGAAACCTCTGCAACAGTTGACTCATCCCACATAATCAGTCTACTGTATCAACCTCTATGTAATGAAATACCCCTATAAAACGTATGCATTATCCATACTGTCTCCACACCCACCTCACACCTCAAGCATATTATCCTCCAGAGATTTCACATCTATTTTAAAATAATAGTGTTTTCTTCTTCTCTCTCTTCTGCTACACAAAGCCCCAATTGGGTGCGACGCTGTCACTTAGCAGTGTCAATGCGTTTGAATGGAAGTGTGAATGTGCTGACTGAATGAAAAAAAAAAAAAGCAGCAGAAATAGTCATCAAACGCTGCATGTCTTTAGGGTCTGGCACGTGTATTGATTGCCTGCAGATTGCGTTACAGTTGCTCCTTGGGTTTAATTCTGCTTCATCCAAAGACTTTGTGATGTGTTCCTGCTCAGAAAGGACCACAAAAGGAGAGCGGCTCGGAAAAGAGGAAGAGGAGACTGGCGGCCTTTTTCACTGGGAGCGATCAGGTACACACATGTTGTTAAATGTTGTGTTATATGATACAATTTTTGATTTAGTTATTGAGAATACTAATACTAACAATATTATATTTTTCACATTTTTCAAGTTTCACACACATGCACAAAAATTGACTTATAAGTATTAGTATTACTTACTAACTGTAAAGTGAGTAAGCTATTTATTTTATTTCAAATGTATACAAAATAAAATATAACACATGGTACAAAATATACATAAATAAACCATTTGAAAAGAGGTTTGACGAGGCAAACTTTCATCACTTAAGAATTTCAAATGTAACTTTGCTTTCGCCTTATCTGCTATTTGCACTAAGTCCCATTTTAAAGACTAATAATAATAATACAAATGTGTAAAAATGAATAAAATATGAAGTATGAGTATTATGCAAATATTAGATTTCCAAGGATTGATATGTATTTTATGCATGCACCAAATGGGCTTTCTGAGGGTCGCTTGGACTCAGATATGACTTTTGACTTGCCCTGTAGTGGCATCAGCTGCTGGCCTTGATGAATATAATTTAAAATTTTTGTTCATGCAATCAAATCTCCTTGGAGACAGCAAGATGGCCGACCCTCCACACAAAGTTGTATAGTGCACCTCTAACCTATACATTACAATTGTGGGTCTTGTTACATTGTTCTATATATTCGTAAACTGCCCATTAGATCCTGTTGCTAATGATCATTAAAATATGCGCTGGTTATGCCTCAAAAGGCTTCTCGTTCACAAAGCGACACAGGCGATGGTGGGAGACCGGTGCCCAGGCTCAACACCCTCTTCCAGGGGTAAGTCATTTCATATTTCTCCCCGTATGTACAATTGATGTCACACCGCTCTAATCATTAATTGTGCAAAAACCATTTGTATTCCCGCTGTCGTTCGCGGAGGCATGTAATTCATATGTCCTCTGCATGGCTTCGCTCGTCAGGCCGGACGCAATGGATTGTGGGTAGAATAGCTGGAGGGCAACGCAAAATCTGTCCATGTCACAGGCTTGGAGGCGCATCAATTCTTGGTCCATCCACTTTAGTCTGAGATCACACATCAAGTCTCGTACGGAGAAGCCCGCGGGCGATGGCTTTAGCATGTTTAAGTTTTTTAGTAATTACACTCAATTCTCCTGACTGCCGCAATAAAATCAAACTCCGCTGCATCCGCGTTTGGTTGTTTGTGGGTGGGTGGGAAGTTGGACACCGGCCCCTGTCAGATGAATGTGGCTGCGGAGTTTAGCGAGATGACCTCCTCTCCACAGCCTTGAACTCTGTAAATTCCCTCTGATATCAATGGTGGGTGGCTATTAGACATGGGAGACTTTCCATGCATCACCTAGGGCTACATCTGCCTGAAATTGAATGAGAAATTATTTCACTTTTCCCTCTCTCTCTCTCTCTCTCTCTCTCTCTCTCGCTCTTTTTCTTATGCGTCTGTAAAAGAAGAAAAAAAAATAAAGCAGGGAGACATGGTGCTGACTTGTGGTTTTGGTAACAAATGTGTAATTCATTTGTTTCCACTGTTTCTGATTTAATGGGGGTCGAGTAATTGCATTAGGAAGCGCATTGTGCCTTGTTGTGAAGTGATGAAAGCTTGTGTAATACTTTTGATAGGTGAACCAAATAAAGCAGACGAGAGATGAGAATATGAAAAAAAAAAGCGAAGAAAACAGTCTGCCTTTGATGCTGGCATTCATTTTAGAATTATCCTTCTCTTATCCAGAGTCACGGGCAGGCCAGGGTCGTCACAATATTGCCTTTTTTGAGGAATTAAGAGAGGTAGCGAGAAGACAGGGTGAAGAAACCGCTTATTACATTACACTGATAAGATTGAAAGGCTGCAGCGAGGAGAGGAAGAGGGCGTGTGTGTGTGCGTGTGTGTGTGCGTGTGTGTGTGTGTGCGCGTGACCCAATGGAAAAGTGATTAGATTGAGCTCGTGTTGACCACAGTGGAACAAAAATGCAGGTGGCTATAACAGCATTAGCTCCCGTGTGAGGTGTTGTTTTTGCCTTGTGTGTTATTAGGCCGACAGAATGCCCGCCACTCAGGATGCTGGGGGAAGGCCAGGAGGAAGCAGCGACCAAATATGGGCGAACGACAGAAGAACGCCCACTGTCCAAATCATCGTCAGTGCAGTCCATGTGGCAGGTGAGATCTGTTAGCTGCTCTAACTGGGCATGGACAAAACAAAACAGGAAATGAGAGAGAACAAACTGGATGTGATGTCATGAGGGGTGTGCGATAAGGATAATGTTTATGTTTTTTTTGTCACGTATGATGTAATTTTGCGAAATGTTGCACTGGATGCTCTTATATTATCTACATTTTCTTTAAGCTCGCAATAAAAAAACAAACAAGCTTTCATATTCAACATCTACTGCAATGTTATTTATTCAAGATTTTTGAGGAGTTTCTTTGTTGATGCCGTCTTTGGTTTTGAAGAATCTTAAGTAGGAGGCAGGAGAGGGGAGAGAGGAGACCAGGGAGACGCAGTAGAATGCAGAGCCGGCGCATCAGCAGCTGTGGGAGGAGAGCTGTTTTCTGCATCTGGAGATGAGGCTGCCATGCCACCATGCTGGCTTAAAGATGTAATGAATCTTCAGTCGGGGGCTTTCCTTCCAGGGTGACAACTGGCTTTGAGGAAGGTTGTAAATGCAGGGGAGATTGTGGTATAATTCCTCAGACTGGCGTTTGTGCCCCCAAGTCACCATTCGATTATCTCCCAAATTGCTGTGTTTCACTGAGATAAAGATTTTTTATGGCTTGCTGACTTGAAACAACCGGCACAGACAGAATAGGGGGCAAAAGAGGGAGAGCAGAGAGAAAGGAAGAGAGAGACAGCAATGGCCAAACCTGCCACGCATAGTAATTTTCTTTGGTGAATGACAAAATCTTTGTTTATGTGACATTTCTCTAAAATTACTGCGGCGAGATGAATCTAAAATATAAAATGTCACATTTGGCATGCAAAACTATGAAAATATATTTCTGTGCAAAATTCATAGAGGCATTTAATTTAGAACGTGTTTAATAACTAAGGCTGCCTGCATCAGTAATCCTGCCCGGAGGTCCCAAAAAGATTGTCATATTTATTCTCTGCTTTCCTCACACCCCCCCCACCCTCCTTCATTCCTAAGCCAAAAAATTTTAAGGGTAAACGTTCATTGTTAATTAAGATTTACTAATTAAAATGAAAATAATTAACGAGAAAGCTTAATCTCTGAATATTAGCCCATACTTAGAAAGAAAGGAAGTTTTTGTATGTGGCATTTCCTGTCTCTATTAAGAGTGCATTTGTGCAAATCAGTCAATGTGTGAAAGCCCTGAAAAGATGCAGCAGAGAGGGGACGGCGGCGTGCCAGAAACACCACAGAGGATCTACGCCGGCGCCTTTGATCTCATCTGTAGGAGTGCTGTAATGTTATGCCACTTTAGGCACAACTCGGGCTCGCGGCAAACTATCCACCTCTGATTCGGAGACTTGGCTGGTTTCACCTTCTGCCTTCTGCCCCTCTCGCTCTTATTCACAGCGGCTTTAGGATGTGAGCATATGGGCCACAGCACAATGACTTTGAAAGACTGACACGCTGCAAATTGGACACTGCTGTAATGTGCTTATTCTGTGGCTTTTCTTTGATTTCTCCACCTCCTTTTGCGTTACACTGCGTAAACCTCCAAGTCTTTAGTGTAGGTTTGTCGATGAGCAAGCTGCCATACGACAACCAAATTCACAATATTAAAATAGATGGATATAAGATTTTTCTTTTTTTTCTCCAAAGCCTCATTATGCATTTAAGCATGTAACATATAATTTCAAACTGGGAGAGATTTCAGACAAAATTATGTAATAAAACGTTATCTAACTACAGAAATTAAACGCCCTTAAAACAATTTGTATCTATCACTAGTTTTATTTCTGGCCTCTGTCACATTTTTAGATCAACTTTTGTCAGACAAATAATTTTTGCCAAAGACAATATATTTTCTCACACAATGAAAACAGTCCATTTCACAAAACTTCATTTTGGAAAAACTACAGGTCTATTTTTGTGAGAAAAATAGAAAAATCTATGAAGCACCACACAGGTGGAGGGTCCATTGCCTGCTTCTAATATGAAACATGTGCTGCCTTATCTGGAATGTTCAAATTTACTGGAAAATAACTTTTTTTTTCATTTAATGCCATTTGTGCCATAATTTTAGAAGAAGAAAAAAGCAATAGCATAAAAGCTACAGTGATCTTATTTACTTATTTTATACAATTTATACAACACCTCTTTTCTCATATATACAGTATGTGTGTTGTTTATTGGTAAATATGAATTCTTGTGCACACACATTGATAAACTATGTATCGACGTTTTGAATTTGATGACACACATTTTGTCTGGCAGACTGCACACAGCCAGAGTGTGTCATGGTTTTTGCAGCCTACTGTAAAACAATGGGAGAGCACAAAGGCTGTGGGCTGCGGTGGCATTGATTGGAATTGAGGGCCTTAATTGCCCAACACTCAAATTTGGCCCAAGGGACTGCGAGAACACTGTGTAAGTTCAAGTACATAAAACAAATGAGCATTTAGAGATGGGACGTGGATAATAGGACAAAATAAATTCCTTCACTTAGAATAGAATTAAAATAGGCCTGACAAATAGAGGCTGTAGGATTGGATAATAAAGAATATGCCTCTTAGTGACAATAAAGTTACAGCCACAGTTCAGCAGCAGAAAAAGTAATATTTTAATGGTTTTGGGGGACAAGCAACAGACGGAATGAAGTTTTATAAACATATAAACTATAGCTACAGTTGTTCCTTTTAATCCAGATCGACTTTTCATTCATAGTTCTTCAAGAGTTGCCACGGGGGACAAAAGACTGCAAATGCATTTATATTGTTTTGTGATTATTTCCCATTAAAAAAAAGTAATACTGTCTCGCCAGCTTATCCCATTACTCATCTTAAGCCTTAAAAAGAGGCACATGTCACCAGAACAAACACGCAAACAAACAAGTGGGTTGTTGTAGCCTCCAGGATGGTGGAAGTTGATGTTCGAACTGTCAGTTAAATGCAAAATACGGTTAGACGCATTTGTGGTTAGTTCCATTTTGAGATAATTATGCGACTTGAGATTTAAAAATGGATGCATATTTTGATATATGTGTAATTATTACGTTTACGGGCATTTTGAAAGGCCATGTCATGAGAGAGAATAAGCTTAGTGAAAAAGCATGTTTTTAAATTATGTGTTTTGTAAGTATTTGAATACAGGGGTTAAAAGTATTTCCAAATATTTGTTGTGTAGAACAATATTGACACTAGGTCTGAGATGTTTGCAGAAGTTGGCAATTACTCATTCAAGTAACAGACTCGTAAGTTAAAGTGTCATGTAAACACGCTGATGTTTGTTTAGGAAATGCAGTTGACAATCTGTTTGCTCTTTCTCACTTTTTCACAAAATCCTTGAATGATATGGACCATAAAACCTACACTGTTGATTTGTGCATGTATAAAAAAGTTTATATTTTATTAACGTTTGACCTTGTAGTGACTATAAGTGTGGGCTTCATGGTGCCTTGACTTTTGATCTCAGTTGTGTCTACATGGCTCCAGGATCAAGATTCAAGAATTGATTTGTCATTTGCAATAAAACCACATCTATGATCCATGGTTTTGCAGGTTTCTTGGTGAGGGGATCCATCCGCTCAGAAAACTTTCCAAACAATTGATCCTTGATTGTCCTACAGATTACTGTGCTGTACAGTCACAAGTGCTAACCCTAACCCTGCTAACCCAATTCCTAACCCTACTAACCCTAACCCTGCTAACCCAAGCCCTAACCCCACTAACTCTACTAACCCAAGCCCTAACCCTACCAACCATAACCCTAACCCTGCTAACCCTAACCCTACTAACCCTAACCCTAACCCTGCTAACCCTAACCCTACTAACCCTGCTAGCCCTAACCCTACTAACTCTAACCCTGCTAACCCAAGCCCTAACCCCACTAACTCTACTAACCCAAGCCCTAACCCTACCAACCCTAACCCTAACCCTGCTAACCCTAACCCTACTAACCCTAACCATACTAACCCTGCTAACCCTAACCCTACTAACCCTAACCCTACTAACCCTGCTAACCCTAACCCTACTAACCCTAACCCTGCTAACCCTAACCCTAATAACCCTAACCATACTAACCCTAACCCTGCTAACCCTAACCCTACTAACCCTGCTAACCCTAACCCTACTAACCCTAACCCTGCTAACCCTAACCCTACTAACCCTAACCCTACTAACCCTGCTCGCCCTAACCCTACTAACTCTAACCCTGCTAACCCAAGCCCAAACACTACTAACCCTAACCCTACTAACCCTAGCCCTTTCCTTGCTAACCTCAACCCTACTAACCCTAACCCTAGATGTTGAATAAGGCCATGTAGAATAAGGACTTATGAGTGCTTAATGAATATGACTTAAGCTATTTAACCATAATTTTACACTAATTAAATAAATATGGCCAAAAGCTTTTGTCCTACTCATTGTTGTGTAAAGCCATTTATTGTCAAACACATTTGTTCTAAATTCTTAAATTTGAAAGTATTCTTCTAACCCTGAACAGAAGTGTAGAGTTATCAATAGTGTGACTTTAATGTCTATGATGTTTTTTATGCTCTCTGGTTGTACAGCTGTCCATTCTTCTTGGCAAAAAGCCTCCAGTTCCAGTACATTCCTGGGCTGCCATGCATGAACTGCACTTTCATTCTCTTTTATTTCATAATTTGAAAATAGAAAACTTGTTTATTTGTCAAAGGCTTCACACAACCACTAAGTGAATCACGATGAGGGAAAAAAAAAGAAAAATCTGGCTGGGTGTGCAAACCTTCAAGCACAACTGTGTCATATCTCTAAATGAATAACTCTCACATGTTTTCTATTTATCCACTTAGTAATTGTGATCTCTTATCTAATCTTTTGTACCGGTCTGTTATTGGGAATTCACATGTCTGACAGCCATTTCTAACCTTGATTCATCGCCTCATGATTTCTTCCAGGACAGTGCAGCTCCGCAGCTTCTGGAAGTGTGTGTGCGTTGCTTAAGAGCCGCCAGAGACAAGGTTCCCAGAGGCCAGTACTTGGTCCGGGTGGGTCTCCACAGCCGGCTGGGGGGTGCACTCCTCAGCTGCCCCGGGACAGAGCAGCAGCAGGTGGGATTGGCGTTCACAGAACCTGTACAACATCGTGGACAATACTACGACATTGATCTGCTCATCAACCAAAGCCTGACACTAGTAAGAGAAAATACACTCAATGACATCAAATTGGCCAACACAACAGTTCAGAAAGATTAGTATGTAGAAAATAGGAACCCACATACTATTTTTTTGTTTTAGATTTTGTATTTATTTTTAAGAACACATACTTAAACGTGGTGTACCTAATGTTCAAACTACAATAAATGGAGCCAAGATAATAACATCCATCCAACCAGTTCCTTGGTGTTAAAACAGTTTGGTTCTATCACTTGTTTTCCGCTGCCACAATAAGAAAGGGAAAGAATCTGTAACATTAACAGTTAATAGCACAGTTCATACACAAGACAAGTGCTTAGCAAAACAAGAACAACAATTTTCATACTAGGCATGAAAACCCTAAATAATCACAGTACATTAACCTGCATACAAACATTGTCAGAGAAGAAGCCTATCTCAAATTTTCAGGAAGACTGTTGCAAATTTTAGCTGCATGAATCTGATGTGCTGCCTCCCCATGTTTAACCCTGCCTCTGGGCACCAGCAGGAGGCCAGTCCCTGTGCTCCTCAGAGTCCCAGCAGGAGGCCAGTCCCTGTGCTCCTCAGAGTCCCAGCAGGAGGCCAGTCCCTGTGCTCCTCAGAGTCCCAGCAGGAGGCCAGTCCCTGTGCTCCTCAGAGTCCCAGCAGGAGGCCAGTCCCTGTGCTCCTCAGAGTCCCAGCAGGAGGCCAGTCCCTCTGCTCCTCAGAGTCCCAGCAGGAGGCCAGTCCCTGTGCTGGCCTCCAACATGTCACTTATGTACTTATGTTATTATTTATCTGTATTTAGTATTTCTTTTGTAAGATGTACTATCAATTATTACTTCTGTCAGTGTGCCCCAGGGCAGCTGTGGCTACAGAAGTAATTTATCACCACCGTGTTTGCAGTGAATGAAAAATGACATGTGAAGCGTCTTTGAGTGTCCAAAAAAGTGCTATAAAAAACCAATGCATTATTATTATAATTAATTATACTTTTAAATTGTGGAAATGGTGTTGACATCCCCCCCCCCTTGGACTGCCACCTTAACGTGGTGGGGGAGTTTGAGCACTCGGAGGATCCTGGGAGCTATGCTGTCTGGGGCTTCATGCCCCTGGTAGGGTCTCCCATGGCAGACAGGTCTCAAGTGACGAGTCAGACGAAGCGCAGTCCGAAGCCAACCATGGACAGCACGACAACAAAAACCGTGACGTCGCCCGGCATGGCGCAGCCGGGGCCCCACCCTGGAGCCAGGCCTGGGGTCGGGGCTCGCAAGCGAGCGCCTGGTGGCCGGGCCTTAGCCCACGGGGCCCGGCCGGGCTCAGCCCGAAGGGATGACGTGGGCAGTCCCTCCTGTGGGCTCACCACCTGCAGAGGGGTCCGTGGTGGCGAGGTGCAGAGAGGACTGGGCAGCAGTCGAAGGCGGAGACCTCGACGACCCAGTCCACACACCCAACATCTGGCTCTTGGGACGTGGAACGTCACCTCACTGGGGGGGAAGGAGCCCGAGCTTGTGGGGGAGGTTGAGCAATACCGACTAGAGATAGTCGGCCTCACCTCCACACACAGCTTGGGCTCTGGAACCCAACTCCTTGAGAGGGGTTGGACGCTCCACTTTTCTGGTGTTTCCCGCGGGGAGAGGCGGCGAGCTGGGGTAGCCATACTCACTGCCCCCCATCTCAGCCGCCACGTGTTCGAGTTCTCCCCGGTGAATGAGAGGGTCGCGTCCCTCCGCCTCCGGGTGGGGGACAAGTCTCTCACTGTTGTGACGGCCTACGGGCCTAACGGTAGTGCAGAGTACCCGGCCTTCTTGGAGTCCTTGGGAGGGGTACTGGACAGTGCACCGCCCGGGGACTCCGTTATTCTCCTGGGGGACTTCAACGCCCATGTGGGAAATGCCAGTGACACTTGGAGAGGGGTAATCGGGAAGAGCGGCCCCCCTGATCTGAACCCGAGCGGTGTTCAGTTGTTGGACTTCTGTGCCAGTCACGGCCTGTCCATCACGAACACCATGTTCGAGCACAAGGGTGTCCATCAGTGCACGTGGCACCAGGACACCCTAGGCCGGAGGTCGATGATCGACTTTGTAGTCGTATCATCTGACCTTCGACCGCGTGTCTCGGACACTCGGGTGAAGAGAGGGGCGGAGCTGTCAACCGATCATCACCTGGTCGTGAGTTGGATCCGCTGGCAGGGCAGGAGGCCGGTCAGACCTGGCAGGCCCAAGCGTGTAGTGAGGGTTTGCTGGGAACGTCTTGCTGAGCCCCCTGTCAGACGGACTTTTCAACTCACACCTGAGTGTGACATCACCTGAGGAGGGGGACATCAAGTCCGAGTGGACCATGTTCTCTTCCTCTATCGCCAATGCGGCGGCTCGTAGCTGTGGTCGCAAGGTCTCTGGTGCTGGTCCCGGCGGCAATCCCCGAACCCGGTGGTGGACACCGGCAGTAAGGGATGCCGTCAGGCTGAAGAAGGAGTCCTATCGAGCAATGATGGTTCGTGGGACTCCTGAGGCAGCTGTCCAGTACCGGCAGGCCAAACGTGCCGCGGCCCGGGCTGTTGCAGAGGCAAAAACCCGGGACTGGGAGGAGTTCGGAGAGTCCATGGAGCATGACTATCGGTCGGCCTCAAAGAGGTTCTGGCAAACCGTCCGGCGCCTCAGGAGGGGGAAGCAGTTCTTTGCCAACACCGTGTATGGTGCGGGTGGAGGGCTGCTGACCTCGACTGGGGATATTGTCGGGCGGTGGAAGGAATACTTCGAGGTTCTCCTCAATCCCCCCGTCACGTCCTCCGTCCAGGAGGCAGAGGCTGAGGATGTTGGGGCGGATACTTCCATCTCCCTGGCCGAGGTCACCAAGGTGGTTGGCAGCCTCCATGGTGGCAAGGCGCCGGGAGTGGATGAGATCCGTCCTGACTATCTAAAGTCTCTGGATGTTGTAGGACTGTCTTGGCTGACACGTCTCTGCAACATCGCGTGGCGATCGGGGGCGGTGCCAATGGAGTGGCAGACCGGGGTGGTGGTCCCTCTCTACAAGAAGGGGGACCGGAGGGTGTGTTTCAATTATCGTGGGATCACACTCCTCAGCCTCCCCGGTAAGGTCTACTCCAAGGTACTGGAGAGGAGGCTACGTCCGATGGTCGAATCTCGGATTCAGGAGGAGCAGTGTGGTTTTCGTCCCGGTCGCGGAACACTGGACCAGCTCTATACTCTCCATCGGATACTCGAGGGTTCATGGGAGTTCGCCCAACCTGTCCACATGTGCTTTGTGGATTTGGAGAAGGCGTTCGACCGTGTTCCCCGGGGTGTCCTTTGGGAGGTCCTCCGGGAGTACGGGGTCCGGGGTCCTCTGCTGAGGGCTGTTCGGTCCCTGTATGACCGGAGCCAGAACTGTGTTCGCATTGCCGGCAGTAAGTCAGACCTGTTCCCGGTGCATGTTGGCCTCCGCCAAGGCTGCCCTTTGTCACCGGTTCTGTTCACTGTATTTATGGACAGAATCTCTAGGCGCAGCCAGGGGCCGGAGGAGGTCCGGTTCGGGAACCACAGGATTTCATCTCTACTTTTTGCGGATGATGTCGTCCTGCTGGCTCCAACGAACCAGGACCTGCAACATGCACTGGGACGGTTTGCAGCCGAGTGTGAAGCGGCTGGGATGAGAATCAGCACCTCCAAATCCGAGGCCATGGTGCTCGACCGGAAAAAGGTGCCTTGCCCTCTCCAGGTGGGTGGAGAGGTCCTTCCTCAAGTGGAGGAGTTCAAGTATCTCGGGGTCTTGTTCAAGAGTGAGGGGAGGATGGAGCGTGAGATTGACAGGCGGATCGGTGCAGCGTGCGCAGTGATGCGGTCTCTGTATCGGACCGTTGTGGTAAAGAGGGAGCTGAGCCGAAAGGCAAAGCTCTCAATTTACCGGTCAATCTTCGTTCCCTCCCTCACCTATGGTCATGAGCTGTGGGTAATGACCGAAAGAACGAGATCGTGGATACAAGCGGTCGAAATGAGCTTCCTCCGCAGAGTGGCTGGGCGCTCCCTTAGAGATAGGGTGAGGAGCTCGGTCACACGGGAGGAGCTCGGAGTAGAGCCGCTGCTTCTCCACGTCGAGAGGAACCAGTTGAGGTGGCTCGGGCATCTGTTCAGGATGCCTCCTGGACGCCTTCCTGGGGAGGTGTTCCGGGCACGTCCCACCGGGAGGAGGCCCCGGGGAAGACCCAGGACACGCTGGAGAGACTATGTCTCTCAGCTGGCCTGGGAACGCCTAGGGGTCCCCCCGGACGAGCTGGAGGAGGTGTGTGTGGATAGGGAAGTCTGGGCGTCTCTGCTTAGACTGCTGCCCCCGCGACCCGGCAACGGATAAAGCGGAAGAAAATGGATGGATGGATGGATGGGTGTTGACATAACATTCTAAAACATAATCTGCATCTATCCACAATCTTAATATGGGTCGATATTAATATTATTCCCAACACTCTGGCACACTTTTATCCTTTGATGACGAGAAGACTGAGTAGACTCAAGATTGAAGAGGTTATGAGAAGTTATATTGCCGTAAAAGAATATAAAAACACTGCCGCACAGAGCGCCTCTAGGTCTCACTCCGAGGATCTCCCCATGAATAAAACAATAACTTTCACTCCTGACATTTAATCCATGCATGTGAATCAAAGCAAGGATCAATAATTCATTTATATAAGGAAGTAATATTTTATTGGATTGAAAATTAAGTACAAACCGAGTACTTCTTGACTTTCTTCTTGTATTGTCTTTGAGTAGCTTTGGCGTGGCTCTGCGTCGAGGGAATTATGCCCTGTAAGAGCACAGATTAAAGAATAATGAACGAGGATGACAAAGAAAAACTTTGCGAGGAGAAAAAAAGTTTTGCGCAAGGTGATTTCTTGTTTGCTCAAATACCTAACGCCGTGGCAAGGACTTTCCATATGTGAAATGTCTTAGCTGCATTTCCTGTCTTCCTACTTTATATATATAGTTTTTTAATACTATAGGAAGCTCATTCCGAAAGATGAAAGTACTGTAAAAACAAAAGAGCATAGATTATTTTAGATTAGATCCCTACACATTTCAAAACAGTTTACGTAAATCTTCTGGTATATGCAAAAACATCTTTTATAGATGGTAATCTCGGAAACCCACATAGTCATTTTGGATGTTTGATATTGACCAATGGATTTAGATTTTCATTATGTCCAAGAGAGTTTTGTGCACGCTTAAAAAGGGCTTGCTCACTCTCGGGACTCTCAGAACGCTTGAGCTGGATTTTCGACACATGTGGACACTGTCAATGCACTGTGGGCGTAATCACTGAGCAAGAGCATCCTGATAACATTGTCTGCATCCTCTTTAAAAAATAAAGGACGGGGTAAAAGCAGGCTTACACTGAATGGGGACCTAAGATCTGATTCAGAGTTTTAAAGAAAAAAAGGTTTAAATATGGCTGTGTGTAAATAGCTGGTGTCACTCTAAACCCACATGGCTCCATAAGCAGACCTGTTGTTGTTGTCTTCTTGGTTGTGGTGGAAACGCTGATCAGATTTTGTGTCTGGGACGATCATTGGTCCTGGATGTTTTTCTGTGCGCCTTGCCCACACTATAGCGTGCTGTTTCAGGAGTGCTCGCTGTGTGCTTTCTGAGAGGAAATGAGGAATTAGCGATGGTGGGAGGAAGCCAGGAGCTTATTTTCCCAGTATGTCTCTTTTTTCATTCACCCTTTGGTTTGGGAGACTCAGTTTGGATTGAGACAGAGGGGATTTGGGAAAGTCATGCATAGAATGGTGGGCTATGCAGAAAGTTTAATTAAATACTTCTTTTTTTGGTAAGTTACTGTATATACTGCATTTGAACTTTTGATATACTGTGCAATCGGAAATATGAAAAGCCATCTGATCCCTGCTGCTATAATCCCATAATTATAATATATATATATATATACAATACCTATAAAAATCAATGAAACATACTGGGGAGAATGGCAGTTCATTTTTGTTGTTATTCCAGAAAAAAAAATAAGTATACAAGTTGAATAAAATAACACTATTCATAAAGTAAAATATATTCTGGATTTTTTATTTATTTACTAAACACAATATGAGGAATCACACTGACTTAATTTGTGTAAGAATTGTGCTAAACACAAAAACTTACTTTGCCATTGACTGAAATGCTTTATATCCAGCAAGTCAGCTCAGACAAAAGCCTCACACACATAAACGACAGCTTCAATACTCACACACACACACACACACACACTCACACACAAACACACACAGACACACACGCGCACACATGACTATTTATGTGGGTCATTTTTCTTACAGTAAATGAAAAATATGAAATATCCTCAATATTCATAATCTGTAATATTATTCCATATATTTGTGTCTTGGCTGTAGTCCCCATCATAACACAGGTGCAGATCAAAAGTGTATTAGGGTCTGGGTGGGAGGCGTACATGATTTATGAGTTAAAACAAGTCTGCTCTGTTTCCATTACAACTAATAAAAGGATAAAATATTTGCATTGGGTGATGGATGAAGTGGCACACACCTCACTGTCAGTTCATTTTTTAAGCAAACCCACTATTCTCTGGGTAAATAAAAATGCATGTGTTTATTATCCGCTGCTAACTGCTAACAATTTTAGCTCTGTATGAAAAACTAGCTCACTTCATCACAAATTCACTAAGTGTCAGATTACAATGTCCTCCTCCTCTCTGTATTTGATGCCAAAAGCCATTATCACAGCGGCATCTTCTTTCAGGCAATGTTCTGTGGTGGACGGTAGCGAATGACAGTTAAATAAATGTCAAAAAAATGGGAAAATGTGCAGTTAATTAAAGTCAAAGAATTAAAGTCACGGATGTAGAGTAAGTGACTCCCTAAGGGGCTTTCTGTCCTGTTTGCTATACCTTTTGTGTACACTTGTCATTTGCTTTGCACTCGTAATAACCTCACACCATTATGGCTTTCTATAATATAAAAGGATATTGGTGCATAACAAGAGAAAATCCTGATATGTTATTTTATAGTAATTTTAGCATTTGATCTCAAACAAAGCTTGCAGACAAAATGCATATTGTCACTATTTGACACTTTGGGCTGAAAGCTGATTGGCCGCATGAGGGGGGTCCTCTCTTTTTCACATTTATGTTTAAAAAAAAAAAGTCAAAAGTACATGCATGTACTTAAAGGTGTATTGGTGGACTTTCCCAAATGTTTTGGAAAGAACCGCCTTTTCCACTTTAAAAAAAAAACTCTTTGGTCTTATTTGACGAGCACATACAGTATTACCAGAATGATTGACTATTAAGAGGACCAATAGTCTTGATGATCCACCCGGTAGTAGAAAATCCTTCTTTATACCTTTAACTTAAAAATGAATGGTAGAACCAAACTGTTTTGAGAGCAACGACCTATTTAGATGGATATTCTTACAGACCGTTTGTTGTGGTTCGAAATCTATAGGTACCCCAGCTTAAAGGTAGTGCTGTATTCCCAATGCTGAGTAAAGTATAGGACTACTGTTGACCATTGTTTATTTGGTGCTGGTGAAGTCAGTTATGAAAAGTTTCGGACTGACAACCTCTTAAATATAGTTTTCATACATTCTTTATCGTTCACATCCCCAGGCTTTCATTCAACCGCGCGAGCCCAAACACTATTACTTCACTTTTGTGTGTCTTTAGGTCGTACCTGCGGCCGCGCACACGGTACCCTCCATGGTACTTGTGTTCGAGCTGGTCGCGCTCCCTGGACCCAGCAGTCACGTCAGCTCGGTTCTGGCCTGGGGGGTCTTTCCGGTGTGTGGCCCCGGCTTCAGTCTTGTTCAGGGCAGGTGGGTCACTTTTGGAGATTACAAACATGTACTATGCAAAAAATGTTACTCACCTTTAGATAAACATAACTTTTTGAAAACTCCTGTGAAAAAGTGCTCCTGCCTTTTCTATGTCTTTCTTTTCACTCAGATTCAAAACTCCGTTGTTACGAGGAGAGATAAGCACAAGGCTGGACCAGTTTTTGAAAATAGAATCGTTGATATCCTCGGATCTTGATCACTGGCTGTGCAACTTGTATTTCCAGGTAGGTCCATTTAGAATAATCAAAACATGGTATACAAATATTTCATTTGAATTTCTATAAAGACGGTATTATTATTATTTTTTCTTGTTTTGTTTTTGAAAATAGATGAATAAATAAAATTCAAATACAAGATTTCAACCCCTTGTGCTTCCTTTGGGTCAAAATTATGCTCTACAGTGATTAAAAGTAGAAGAAATATCTCCTGACCTAGAGTCTAAAAGGGTCTAAATGACCCAGGGTTGGTCAAGTGCAGAAATTGGTCAAAATTCAGCCAGAATTTTTTTTAAATTTAGGGTCATTTTTAATCACTGAGGCGGGTCAATTTGACTCGAGGATAGCACACGGGTTAAATTGTGTAAAAGTCTACAGGGTCAAATGTACAACTGGACTTATTTTACTGTATTGTATTAACTATTTGTAAGTATTACGTTTGATTTGCTTGTGTAATACTTATCAGCATCCATATCTGATTCCAGCTTCTTAAAGGTCCCTATAGATCTGAGTGCAGGGGTCAGATTTGGGGATTTTCTTTAGATAAAAGGTTTTTACGGAGCAAATTAAAACTGGCCCCCAGAGACCAAACAAGAACCACATCTCTACACAGCGTTGCCGGATATATTTGAGCTGATGCATTGATTAGATTAGTAAACATCTTAATTGAATTAAAATCCACAACAAAGCTTAGTTTAGGGCTCTTTCTTTCTTTCTGTGACATGTTGTTTGTATTACTGCCTTATCCTTACTTTGACTTTACCTCCAGACAGTTTCAGATTCAAAGTACATATATCTGTCTGTGTACAACATGTGTACATTGGATTGGATTATATAATGCAATTACAGACATTGTGGTGGTGGTGAGCTACTTTTCTGGTTGGATCACTAACACCTGGGTTATAATTACTGGCATGTGTTGTGGCTGAATGGTGATGCAACGGAATAAAAAACAATAAAACTGGTGATGACATTAATATGCAGGGGTCATGTTAATGTTTACTGAAGCCATGTGTAATCTGTGGACACACACGCTGCTGTTTTGATGCTCCCAGGTGAAGAGGCTTCCCGCTGAATCGTGCATGCCACAGTGTTGTATCACCTTACATCCATCAAATACACCTGCTCCTCCTCCTCCTCCTCCTCCTCCTGCCCAGGCCTCCCAACCACTGCCAGGCTATGCCCAGGCTCACATGCACCACCAGCACCTCCTGCAAGTGAGGTGAGGAGTGAGCAACCACACATTCAAATATTTGTTTAGTGAAAAGGGCTTTTGATCCTTCTCATAATCATGTGTTCTCAGTGTTACTGTAGCTAAAACAATCTTAAAGCTGTAATACACAACAGATGACTTGTAGAGAATGTATCTTTGAAACAAATATACTCAAACAATATATAATATATAATATAACAAGAGACCATTAATTTGTCCCACAGTGGAGAATTTCCAGTGTTGTGACGCACAGTCCAAGAGCAGTAGGAATTAAAAGGCACTCGTTAAAAAAAAAAAATATCAATTGTAAGACACAAACACAGATCTGTTTATAATCACAAATACTAAAGTAAAAGTATAAGGATATGATTACCCAAATGCAGTAGGGTTATCAGAAATATTTACGTACAAGTTCTATTACATTTAAACAACCATAGATATTGATATGTACATACAGTAGAGTAGACGTAGAGCACACACACATGGATTCAGCAGTGGTCATTGTACTGTCTGAAAGCAGGTTTTGAAACTACAATTTGACAACAAATACTGAAGAAGTGCATGGAGGAAAGAGAATGATGCAACCAGCACAGAAGGGTAGGGACAGAGAGTGTTTGAGCCTGTGTATTTTCTGAGTGTGTGTTTGTTTGTGTGTCTTATCTGAGTGTGTGTTTTATTGTGTGTCTTGGGTGAGTAAGAGGAGGTCATCCAACACATACAGTATCTATCTGTGTATTATTGCTTATTATGCATCCTGGGTTGTATACGTTTGAAATAAATAATTACGACTACTGCTACTATTAGCTCATTCCATACAGTACCTCTGGCTCTCTCCTCAGAGCAGGGGAGACCGCTGTGGCAGCATCTCACCATGAGTCCCCTCTTCTTCGGTCGGCGGACTCTGCGTGCTCCTCCTCGTCTTTAGCAGGTAGGGGTTCAATGTTCAGGATCCCCGACTACGGCTCAGTAGGGGGTAAATGTCACCCTAATGTCACCCTAATGTCACCCGCTATGAGACACTATGACTGGCAGCCGCTGTTTGCCTCGGGGCAGGGCTGGGCACAATCTGGCAGAAGCATCAAGTAAAGATAAAGATAATACAAACTGATAACCAATGACAGGTAATTGACGTTATAATTTAGGATGTAATGTTTTTGATGAAACAAATGAACAAAGTTTACTCAAAGAAAAGTCATATTATTATACTGAGAAAGACAATTTTTATAACAAAAACATGATATTAGTCAGACCATTTAATTTCACCACAATATTCAGTGTGTAAGTTATTGTATGTACTACTTTACTTTTTTCCGTTTTTTTTCTCTCTTTTGTGGTCTTGGAAAACTAGCTTGAAATAAATAAAAACATGAAATAAATATTCTATAAAAAAAAGTAATTAAGAGAGGTTTGTAGTTACGTAGTGAACTTTTTATAGAAAGGAAAGGCATTTCCATAAAGGAGACATTTACAGACATTGGTCATCCCTACTCAATTGTTCTAATTCTGGTTCTCTAATCTGTTGTTGGTGAATTGGCAGTTGTGTAAAGTCCTCCGAGATGACTGCCTCTTACCTTAGTTTTACTCAGTCCTAGAAAGTTTTGACCAAATAAAAAAAATCGTTGTTTCCGCATGCGCATAATCAAGTTAGTTCTGTATTTGCATTTGTTTAAAATCAGGAAATCATAATCTTAAGTTATTTATTATTTATTATTTCACATCTTGGTCCATTTCCTTTCAAAGGTGTGAATGTGTTTATGTTTCTGTCAGGAGCTGTCACATGCTTTGAGCCTGACCCTGAGAAAGTGCAAGGCCAATGACACTTCAGGGGGTTCCTCTTGTTGGACAGTTGGGCTGACGTCAAAGCCACATGTAGGGTTAACTAATCACGCATTTACCCAACAACCCATTTCAAAACAGTCCTAATACCTGAAAGGAATATTGCAGCTTGCCATGTTGGAAATGAAACACAGACTCACTTGGAACTACTACACAGATGACCAGTTCCTTTGTTTTTTCTTTAAATATATAACCCCCATATTTCCCCACTATTCGCTGGCTCATCTTTATTTAACAGTTCTGAAAAGTTTCTGGGGTGCGCTGCTTTAAACATCACACAGGCTTTTTAATTACAAATGAGTTGTGACAGGTCTGCTGGGTAGCACCCTGGCCCATTTTATGCGTGATGCCGGCTGACAGCTCGGCACTGTTCTCCCAGCACTGGAACATGTGGAAGAAATTGGTCTTTTACATTTCACAGCTTGTCGCTTCCTCCGCCGCCTGACCTATGACTCCCCGCCGAGATCCCAACGCCCACAAGGGAAGTGTCCCAGGGCCGGTGCGGAGAGGGAGGGAGATTTATGTTTTGGCATACAAGTCGAAAGGTACCTACAGGTCTCGTCAGCGCACATGGCTGCATCGGCAAAATACATGTTTGGAGCCAGGTGAGGCGGCTTTCTCAGGGAAGTGAACCCGATCTTGGTGAAAAAAAAAAGTCCTGGATCAAAAGGTGCTTCGTGCATAACACCTCACCCACACTGTTCTCTAAGCAAAGCTGACATTTGGGCCGCATTTGCATACAGATCCGTTCACGTTGCATTACCTCTGGAGCGAATTATGGCATTCCGATGCGGGGAGATTACGTCAAGGTTGAAGGGAACGATCGGACGGACAACTTTAACCCAGCCAAAAATGGAAATTCAATTCAGCGAGGAAAAGAAGAACAAATTATACCCGCTTTTTGCAGTCCTCTGTCAAGTCTGGAGTTTGAGACATTTCCTTCCTATTTCATGCTTTTGCGCGTGTGATGTGGGTACTGGAGAAATGACTTGCTCCTCTCCTCATTGTCTATGAGTAAGGACAAGTATATAGAGACCCCTGTCATCATTGGAACTCAGCGGGGCCTGACGGAAAGACTGGAAGTTTGTAATCCTGAGGCCTTAAATTAATTAATCCCTGTAGAAAAATCATAGTGTGCAGTGAAGTGTCAGTTACAGAACACAATCTGACATGCTGGTCCCAGATAAGAACGACAAGTTTCTGTCTGAATATTGGAAGCTTTTACATATACTTTTCATACATGCAGGTTGGAATAGATAGATAGATAGATAGATAGATAGATACTGTAGATAGATAGATAGATGGAAAGATGGAAAGATAGATACAGTAATTAGATTGATAGAAGATAGACTTCATGGATGCCTCAAGGATATATTTCTTTTATCAAATCCCTCAAATAGAATGACAAGCAAGGTATATTGAAAAATATGTTCCCATTACAACTGACTCGTATCTATAATGAATTAAAAAGGTAATATTTACACTACATTAACATTTATACCTGCCCGTATCATCTTATTCAAATAATCCTTAATTAAATAATTAAATAACTTCCAATGTAGATTTAAATAAAGCCCAAATGCATGTATGAATTGTATTAAATGTTATAGGATTCGTGGTATAGAAAACATATACTGTACATGTAGCAAAAATAATGACTTTTTTATTTCTTTGTGTGCATGTATTTTACCAGGATTCAACTGATTTCCGTTATTCACTTTTCTAAATGTCTTGATTTTCTATAATAATTGTATGTAGTTTTCAGTATTGTGGGTTTAACACTATACAATTATGTTGTGCATGATATTAGTGCCTTGGTGTGCATTGGTTTTTAGCTGAAGGCCCAATGGGTGAAGTGACCTTTCCCATCAAGTGAACCATCTAGTTACTGAGAGTTTCTTTGAGCCCAAATGACTCATTAGATTAGCGTCTTGCTCCATGATCGCCTTCAGTGAATCACTGAAGATTTTTGAAGTAACTATTAACATTTAATTAAAAAATACACATCATACTCCATGCAGCCCCTAAAGTCATGTCCTGGTCGGATGTAGAGACGCCACACTGCGGGGCTCCTCCGGGCCGGTCCCATCATCAAGTCTCAGACCACAATATTACATCAGCCCTCTCAATCAGTCGCACTGTGACTCTGCTGATTGTAACATGACATTAGCCGTATTTACAAATGGGATTTTTAACTATGTCCAGAGATGCGATGCAGCAGCGGTGCAGTGACTGTGGTCGGAGGAGCCTAGAGGACTGAATGAGATAGCTCCATGTGCACTTTGGTAACGTAATGGCAAAACTGACGTAGAAATTGTAGACAGACTTTGAAATGCACAACAAAAAAGCTATGTTTTTTGCAGTTGCTGGCTTGTCATGGAACACGCTATCAAAGTCAAATAATGAAATAAATACTCATAGTTTAATACTGTATTTTAAGCTGGCTTTAGTTTTAGGGCGATAGTTGTTCTGGTCTCAATTTGGCATCTACAAGTTTTTATAGTCTATTTGCATTTTTCAATTCAATGTATTCATGTAAAGCCCCAAATCTAAATTACTTTTCTTTTTCTTTTTTTGTACGGTAATTTCATCTGTAGCACTTTGAAGTTTCCCTGGAAATGTAAGGCGCAATATGAAGAAATGTATTATTATTATTATTAAATCACAACAGTAGTTATGTTTGAGTCTTCAAAGTAAGTATACATGAACTAGTATTAACCATTTTATTTTATAGCTGAATAGCATGGATTTACTCTACCTACTTTTCTACTCTTCTCAAGAATTTGTGTGAAACGACATCGATTGCGTTGATTAAAATCAGAACCTTGAACTCAACCCCTCCTGATCTCTGGGATAAACCATGAGAACCACAGACCTATGACCCTCGTGTAACTTTGTACCAGCCATCAAGTAATTAGGAAGCTAGGTGGGCAAGACGCCACCATCTTGCTCTGATCATCCATTAGCACTAACCCCGTGATTAGGTCCTGACAAGTGTTGCAACCCTCCGGCCTTTCTATTTCCCAAGTCTTTTTAACCAACCACTCATTTGAATTTCTCCCCTGAAAATGTTTGCGCTCCTTGTTATTATTGCTGTTATTTATTTATTTTTTTCCTGTGTGTGTGGGTGCTTGTGTATGCAGAGTCAAGAACATGTGTGCAGCGGCCTGAACAGGGCTCAGAGCAGAAAAGGGGCTAACGGGGAGTTTGTTGTTGGCCTTGAGAGACGCAGAGGCTGGAGTTGTGGCCGCTCGGCGCAAACAGTTCATGGACGTAGCCTTTAGCTGCCGACGCTGCCTCCGCACTCACTCTGGTCCCAACAACAGTAACCGGTGTGATTTATGTGCGTGGTATAAAGAGGTCTATCTATGGATGTGATCGTGGTGGTTATGAGCAGTTCAGTGCAAATGCTTGTCAAAACTGTTTATTTTTTATGAAGATTTGCAGTGTTTTTTTTTCAGTTTTTGTATTTTAATCTAAATCCAGTATTACAGAAATATCATCATACCCCGTTGTAATACAAATCTACAATTTACAAGAAATCAACATTTTATCAAAAGACTACAATTCTACGGATGCTAAAAACTCAAAAAGCAGAAATTTGGTTTTAAATGTTTGGCTCTATCATACAAAGAAGACGTTGATTTTAAAATGAATGAAGACAGATTAAAAAAAACTAAATCAAATCAGTATGTTTTTGAACAGCCCGAAAACACAACAGCTTTCGTCTCATAGTACTTAATGAAATTGTTGAATAGCAGATTTAAAAGTCAAACTATTTTAAAGTCAAGTCAAGTTCGGGAAAAATCATTGTGTCTGTTGTTTTGAACATTTTTATCACTTGGGTTTGCGATACAACTATTCCAATATTACTTTCACCCTATCAGCAATAAAGAAACTCCAATTTAGACCAAATTCCTGATAAAATGAGATGTAGTACAACCACAAGCGATCAGGTGCTCCTCGAGGATCCTTGGTGAAACAACATGGAAAAAAAAGAGGAGAAATGTCCGAAGCATTGAAGATTTAAAATAAATATCCTTTATTTCTATAGGGCAACAATGGCACGTTTCAACTCCTCTCTGCTCTTCATCAGGCCAAGTGAATGCATTCAGTCTACTTTCCAAATATCAACCCCAGACAGCTAATGTTCTTATTTGTTTCTGTAAATATCCAACCTTAAAATCTCTCACAATATGTGCCGTTACCTAATCTGTGAGAGTGCATTCTTTTAACATATTGTGATTAGC